ACCTATGTATGCAATATCAAAGCAATTGGACTTGCGATTTTTAACAAGAAGTTGAAAATATCACTTTTTACCAAAAATGACAAAAATATTCACCAAAATTAGAGAATTTAAGATATCATCACAAAATGAACAAATCTGAAAGAGGTCCACTTGTGGTACCCATGTATGTAATATCAAAGCAATTGGACTTGTGGTTTTTAACAAGAAGAGAATTGAAGATATCATCATGAAATGAACAAATCTAAGAGAGGTCTACCCAAGGTACATATACAACAAGTATCAAAGCATTCAGGCTTGTAGTTTTCAAGAAGAAGTCGAAAAAGTAAAACATTGACACGGACGACAGACGACGACGGACAATAACTCATATGATAAGCTTCGCTCAACAAAGTCGACAGCGGAGCTAAAAATAGGAATTCAAGTTCAAAATCAAATGATTTTATTTTTGCGTCAAATGTTTGGTCAACGCCTTAATTTTTTGCATTACATGAGATCTTTTGGTATTATAGAATTACAATTTACTAAAATATCAAACAGGTATTAATATTTACAATAAAATATGCTTTTATTATTTGTTATTGCGCTACATACCAAATACACTTGTTATGCATTATACGTAAGATCAATTCCTAATCTTATCTTTTAGAAATGCATCGAATAATTAACGACAGCCCTCACTCTCGCTTCATCGAATTTAAAAAAATACAAGGAATAAATTACCATACTTTTAACTATGTTTTAGGTATATTTCTTTTAAATTTGTTTCCAATGCATACTTTATTTTCTTACTGGTATTCCAAAAATGAATTTTGTAATAATGATAGTCAAAATATATTAAAATTACCTACATGTATTTAGGATTATAACGCAGTTGTACTATAAATACTAATGGGATTAATGGTATTAAGAATGGTTGCTTGGAAAGTTTAATTATTTACAATATGACGTGATCGGGAAGGTGGTTAGCTGTGTACTAAACATCGCTTCAGTTGAAATAATTTCAGTACAGAGTTGGTTAATTCACAAACTCGTCGTTCTGGGAATATATTTTGCATTAGAGAATATACCATCAAAAGGCACCCAAGCACATTATCTTGATTCACCAAGTTCACTGAAATCAAAAAGTATTCTACTTCACTTGAATGTTTCCCCAATGAGTATGTAAATCTGATCACAGGTTTACCTTGCATATTGTAAAGTCATCAACATCATCACTCACTCACTCTAGTTTCATTGTTGGCATAAATTTCCCACCCAAAGCTACAGGGTAGTAAATCCAAAATATTGTAGACATCAAAATCATCACTCACCCTGGCTTCATTGTTGGCATAATTTTTGCAACCAAAGCTACACCAATAGTAAATCCATAATATTCCTCGTCTCCCAGTATGATTTCATCTGAACTGCATGCCCGGCACGTACATGCTGTTAACCGACGTATTTCATCCAGGTCCATTTCTATGCTATCAGCTATGTGGAAAAAATACAAAAAAAACATTAGCACATCAAGGAAACAGAGATCTGAATGGAACATTAAATAAAGCATGCACTACTAATAGATTAAATAATTTGTTCATAGTTAAATTAATAAGTGGATTATGGTATTTCTTGAATCCTGATTATCAAAAATTCAACAATCTGGAAGCCCAAACATTATTTTAATCAATCGCTTTGCAATACAAATCAATGTGTGATTATTTATCTGGATTATCAGTTATCCAAATTAATCCAGCTCAGCTCAAGATTTATGATTAATGAGACAGAGAAATTACTCAAGTCTTTTTGAGTATCTGGCAATAATATCTAACGGGGGAATGCTTTTTGCCTCAGTGACTATCGTACTGGGACTATGTTTCAGCCACAATTACACTATCATAGCAGAACTATGTTTCAGCCACAATTACACTATTGTAGCAGGACTATGTTTCAGCCACAGTTACACTATCATAGCAGGACTATGTTTCAGCCACAATTACACTATTGTAGCAGGACTATGTTTCAGCCACAGTTACACTATCATAGCAGGACTATGTTTCAGCCACAGTTACACTATCATAGCAGGACTATGTTTCAGCCACAGTTACACTATCATAGCAGGACTATGTTTCAGCCACAATTACACTATTGTAGCAGGACTATGTTTCAGCCACAGTTACACTATTGTAGCAGGACTATGTTTCAGCCACAATTAAACTATTTTTATCTTTCCTTTTTTCTGGGCACAGTGTCTAATGTGGTGGTACTATCAACACCACAAACCCATTCTCTTAAGTTTTATAAATATTTAAAACCACATATTGCTACAGGCAGTGTAACCAGTGTACTGTAAAACATGTTGAAAAAGCGGCATGCAATTTTAGCGAATTGTGGTAAAATGACGTAATAGCGAAATGGTGATTTAGCGAATCAACGTTTGGTGGCCATTTTGAATTGATAATAAAGTCATTAGCAACATCTTGAATTAGCGAATCAGTTCTCTCACTAAATTCGCGAAAAAGACATATTTTACAGTATATATCATGTTTAACAAATACATCATTGTCATATCAACATTATTTAGCATTTAACTCCAGTATTTATTCCATTCATCAGTCTATGACGTCATCATTACGTACATGGATATCACACAAACTTTACATCTCAGTGGTACCATTTCTACCTCCATGGTGGTACCTAGCATTTCTACTATAAAACCATCGAATGATTGGTTGACTTTAAAATGTTACAACTACTATGCATGTATACGGTGGCTGCTACGTTAAAATATTAATTTTATAATGTAGTGTGAATGTATTGTAACACCTTGACGTATTTACTGATTTGGAGATGAAACCCCCAAAACCCAGTGTAAAACACTAGTTTTATGGATTCTCTTCAGCTGTTACGTAGCATGCAGCTTGTTATGTCTATTATTAATAAGGGTCAATACTAAGACAATGCACATAAAATGTGTTTTAAATTATGACACTGACCTTGTTCTGCTGTTAAAATCCCATTCGGGTCGCATATCCAGGAGATATTTCCTCTGCGACCACATTCCATGGACCCATCGAACGTCTGTGGATTAGGGTACATTTGTTTGATCCACCACTCGCGGTGCAGTACGCTATTATCTTGTCCGACCAATGCATTGGACGCAGAATAGAACGGATTCTGTTCGGTGTCGTTCAGTCTGGAATACACACTTGCCGCGTAAACGACAATAATAATAATACACGGCGACACTACAGACTGCATGAAACAGGTATACTTCATGGCTCCGCTTTCACCTCAATACGTTGCCACTTTACTCTACGTTGTTCTATCTAACGTCAGCGATTCCTGTCCGAACTGACCTGTGGTAATAGTCGCCGACCACGATCCATCAGTACACGCATAGAAACAATTCTCAGTATGACATCCACGACTAAAACAGCGACGATGTGATGAGTGTTGTATAAAACCGGTTAGCACGTGACCACATAATCTACATAAAGCAGACGGCCCCACGCAGGGCGTTCTTGAATCGGAAAATGAACATACTAGTAAACGTCACTACAATAACTATAGGGATTCGTTAATTGATTGCCTGGTAACACCTGGTATAAAATTGTGATTTTAAACAAATCATATTATGGATAAAAATATATATTTAGATTACTGAGACTGAGAACTTGATACTTGATCGTACTGCTACTTAAACTTTCGGAGGTCACTGGATTCACTGGATACATTTTAATGAAAATTTCAGTCTGAAACAGCTATTGGAATACAACTATTTGTTCTTCATATCTAGTATATTATCATCGGGACATTATCCTGTGACGTTGTCAAAGCGCGCAATTCATGCTCATTTGGTTGCCATGGAAACCACGCAACATGAAATAACCATATTAATAACAAAGCATTTGACCCTTTGGGAATATAATGCATTTTATCTTCATGCACGCATGGGATGTGTGTACTCTGAGGTAAACAGGTTGACATTGCTTGATAATTATAGAGTTGACCATTAGAAACTTTGGGACCGCAGGCAGACGGAATTGGAAGTAAAATGCATAGCAAAAATCATGGAAAACAAAACCCAGGGTTCAAAAGAGAAAAATATTCCACAGAGTGTTAACAAATACAGCAAATTAATCATGAAAACAACATAAATTAGCACAAAACTAAGTGAAGAGGGAAATGCGCAGTGTTTCTGCCATCGATCCGCTAAGAGTTTCTAATGGTCTTCTCCTTAATTTATTAAAGTAGTACCTGTACCGTGACATTTGAATATATCTGCACGTGAGTTCATTTTGAAAGATTTGGAAATAAAACTAAACGTGCTTCTCACAACGGATTGGTGAATGGGTTATATCCAAATATAGAACAAATATCACAATTAAAATATTCGTTGTTAATATGATGAGGGCGGTAGTCGTCCGATGAAACAGCATAAACGCTTCCGTACAGACACGTGCCATCCATCATATTTGACTTATTTAGCTATTTCTCCGCTAGTTTACCAATTTGACGAAGAGAACGACGAAGTTTGACCAACAATTATTTCAGTTTACATATTGCTTGAATATCTTTTACAACTGCATACCAAACATACTGAATTGTTAACATTCTGGGTAAATTGAAATGATATCCCGAAAGTGATTTAACCATTTCCCAGTCTCTATGGCATAAAAGCAGTTCCTATGTGGCATACTCAGAGTCCAGTCGATAATTAATTATGCTCGTGTAAAGCAATATAACAAACACACATATAGTATTTACTTTAATTCTGTTTGTATGAACAAGCCAAACACATGATATATCTAGGCTATACTAATCTTTAAGCTGTCAGGCACATTTCGCGTTTTAGTATGCTAAACGTGCGCGCACGACCACATTGTACCGTGACATTTCCATAGAGTGATTTATTTTTAAAATATTGAGCAAAAGTCATGTTACGTGATAGTATTTTGCATATTTCGCATTATGACATGTTTGACTTTCGAATATATATTGATAATCTTTACCAAACCTTTCTCTGAAAATGTCTGTTTTTTCATTTTTTATGATTTTGACAGAATTAAAAACCCAATTTCTTATCGGACATACCCCATAGGCGCACTCAAACCTTCCATGGATACATTCTCAACCTCACTACTTACAACAAGACGTTACCCTGGATGTAAATGCCACATTTGGGATCACGCAACCATTAAATAATAATTTGATATTTCATCGAGATAAAAACAATATAGGATGATTTATTGTAAAATAAAAACGTACTTTTGGCAGCAAACATGTCAGTATTCGTTCGATAATATAATTTATCATATATCTTGCATTACCCAGTCTCGTAATGCTATGAGAAACCTGCTGAGGAAGTCTTTTTAAAACATCGTTTATATTAGCCGTATAAACACTGAACAAGTAACATGGGACCCGCTTGTGAAATCAGCAAGACATATATTTGCTGTTACATTGATGATCACCGAGCTCATTTCCACTTGTTTGATGAATTTCAGTTAGTACAGCCAACATGACATAATTTGCACCCAGGAATTTGCATAATTACTAGTAAGTAAACAAATGACACAATTGTTTTAATTACATGATATTCGTTAGATGAAAGGTATGTAATCTGAAATAAAATCACAGAATCTATGACGTCATCATTACGTACATTGATATCACTATATTCAGGCCCAACGTTTTAGAAATCAGAATACAGCTTGCACCTCAATGTAGAACTGAAAACAGATTTAAAATTGAGATATGTGCATATTATTATTAGCACAAATCACATGTGCATAATTATCATGTGTGTGGGTGCAATCAATAATATTAGCACAATAGTGTATAAGCTTATGAAGGTAAATTATGACCCGTGTGCAATGCTTGTTAAAAGTTAGCAATATCGATAATGTTCGTTATCAAATTCAGAACGAGAAAAAAAAACAATGTTGCCATTCTTCTGTGACCCCTCATGACCCTATGAAATCCAAGATGGCGTCCAAGATAGCCGTATAATCTATACATTCCCATATATCTGCCAACCCCTTGATATAATATAGATTAAAGCATCAAATATGAGTTATTAAGATCAAAGATTATATAAATATACAATTCAGTTTGCATAATGATATTTGGCATAAATACAAACTATATACTGTGTACAACTAACTACACAGTGTATGTATTTGCCCGTGAGCTACATCATGTAGCCACTCATTCGTAAATCCCGGCAATCTAGTATTTTTTAGGTCTCATATGATGTACTCTAATTGGAAAATGTTATTGAAAATCTGGGAATAGCTCACACTCATTAATTTGGGTATTGAGGCAAATTAAACCAATAACGCAATTGTCAAATTGTGATCAATAATGAAAAATAATGATCAATGTTACGATTTTGTCCACACAATACTACTGTTCCTCATTTCTTTGATTTTGGTATTTTCAGGTCCGCCATAATGTTTTCAAGGGAAGAAGTATGAAAAAATCAACAAGCCCACCACTAATTTGTACATTTACCCTAAAATGAGTAAGGGGTATTTTCGTAAGCTGTTTTTATTTTCATAATAATTCAAATGTCGTGAACAATTCCGACCAAAAATGAACAAGAACAATGAGGTCATTATAATAACATTGTTTAATATTCAAGTTTCTCGAACAATATTTTATATCAGTAAAAATTCAAAAAAATGTTTCCTTCCAAAAAATCGCCCAAGTAATTTTCGCGTAATTATTTCGCGGATTTTCGTAATGCATTGGCTACTAAAATTGTGATCAATCGCAGAAAATTTGGATTTCCTACGTAAAGCAACGGCTTAACAATAATTCAGAACAAACAGTGTTAGGGACAACATTACTCGCAAACCATATACGTAACTAAACATAATTAATAATTTCCACCAGCATTGCATAATATTCAGTCATAACTATGGTTTGGTTAAAATTTCATCGCGAGTAAATTTGTTGACGGTGAAAATACTGACCAACTTTTTAACGTGAAGAGTATATGTAAATTACATTTCGGCGGGAAAAGTACTTGTCATTTCATTTCTTTATAAACATGATGGAATCTTGGCCTTAATAATAAACGAACTTAACTGATACAAGTAAATCAAAGAAAATATATAAAATGACACACACAGGGTAATAATGAGAGTAAAAATGAGCAAGAACAATGAGATCATCTGTAATAATATATAATCATATTCATGATATTTCTCAATTATTACCACTGTTTAACTACAGGGTAAAAACAAAATATAAATAGTAAAGCAATATGTGACGTAGCACGCAGTAACTAGTAGTGTGATAACAACCATGTCTTAATTTTATTAAAATTATCGTGGCATGTAATGGCACGCAGTTTGTTGCGATCAAAAGTACTTCAGATTGCATGCATTTACACTTGTCAACGTTTGGTTTATGCTTGGCTGTCGCAGCACGACCTTTATCATCAGTTCCACTGATCGAGAGCGCAGAAGATGAAATCACCTTGAAGCCTTTCACAGCCATGAAACCGACTGACATCCGTCCTGTAAACTTCTTGCACGAGTTTATCATCACCTCCGTTATAACAACTGACAAACATCATAGTGATCATCACTTTAGTGTCAATTATTTTTATTATATTCTTTGTGATCCCGATTTAAAGCTGTGTATTTCCTCTTCGCTATCCTCCTCCCGTAGCTGGATCCGCCTCGGTTTAGATTTGGGGGAATAACACATAACGACGACCAAGAGGAAGACCATAAACGGAATGAAGACAGAAAAGAACACAATAGCATAGAGTTGTAAATCAGTGAATGGCATATGATGCGCACCGTTCCCTGTTACTAACGTGCGATTATATGCCTCCAGTATGTACAGCAATCCATCGTAGTAATCCTCCGATTTGAAGTACTTCTCGGAAGATGACCTGATATGGAGTATATGTGATTCAAATAACACTTCTGACGTCTTTTTCCCAGTTGACGTAGAAATCTGCAAAGTTAATGAATATTAGTTGATTGACACCAATCTACGTAGGAGTTACTATCAATTTTCACAATGCTATAAAAACAAAAGCCCGCAAACCGATGATCATTGGCGGCGCACTTCTAACCAAACTTAGTTACTAGTACATGTACATGTATTTCTTACCACAGCATCTTCTCGGGATACGAATATTACGATGTCATTCCCACAACTTCCTAATTTCCAACTTTCCAATAGATAGTCTGCCCATTGTTCAGCTTCTTGCAATCTCTCCTTTTCTGTTGGACAGGATCTACAAATACCAATCATTTTTCACTTAGAGGTACGTGACAAAGTGGGAAGTGATAGTGAAGGGTGGTAGTCGTCGCGCCACGCATGCGCGAGGTGTATGTGTCTCATATAAACAAGGATGGCGACTTTGACTGTTGCGCAGATCAACGAGTACAAACTGGGACGTTACCAAGCT